CATTTTTCGTGAGCTAGAGTAGTGGTCACAGTAGCACGTAACTGCCTGATAATTAAAATGCAAACTCCCTAACCCAGCACACAGTGACCCTCATACTCCTTCCTGGCCTCTCTTGCTGCTCCCCTACACGGATGCTCCACTCAAGACAAATGTGGCTTCCTATCTCTGAATTTCCACCATGATCTTCTTCTCTGTTCTGAATGCTGCCCAATACTTCATACCTGTCAATGGCCTCCCCAGCTCCGGTCTCATTTCCCTCTGTTGTTCTGGGTTTCCACAGCGCAGCCTGACACGTGTTAGGGCTCAGACTGCCCAGGGCAGGAGCTTCTGTCTGCAGTTGTCTTACCCATGGTTCCTCTCCCACAGCTGTCACCTTTGATTTACCTTTGTGGAAACTGACTTTTCTCCACCAGTAGTCCATCTGTTGGTTCCAGGGATAGGCACATGCTCAGGCCTTAGAAAAAGTCACCATGACAAAGAGGTGGACACTTGGCAAAACTAGGCTAATAAGAATCACCCTGGAACTTTTGCTAGAATCATTCTTTTTCCACAGGGTTGGGGTTAGCAATGTAAATTCAGAGCTGCCAGTATTTGCCACCTTTGAGAAGGAAGTGAACTTAAACTGAGCCAAAATAGAGAAACCAAGAAATAAAGTGAGACAGATTCTGTATGGCATTATTTGAGCATCTGGATCCATCCATGCCTGAAGCCAGATACTTTGGCTTTTTGTTTGCTTGTTTCATTTTGGGTTTTGGTGGGTGGTTTTTGTTTTGGTTTTTGTTTGTTTGCTTTGTTTGTTTCAGTACTGGGGCACTTTATCACTGAGTACCTCCCAAGTCCTTTTTTTATTTTTATTTGGAGACATAATCTCAGTAAGTTATTGAGGCTGACCTTGAACTTGCAGTCCTCCTGCCTTAGCTCTTGAGTCCTGGGATTACAGGAGTACGCCACCATTCCTGGAAAGCCAGATACTGTATGTGTGTGTGTATGTGTGTTTGTGTGKGGGGGGGGGTACTGAGGATTGAACCCAAAGCCTCTTCATACATGCTAAGCAAGTACTTTATCCCTGAGCTACATTTCTAGTGGTTTTTTTTTTTTTAATGGACACAATATCTTTTTTAAAAAAGCACATTCTTTTATTTATTTTTTTTTTTTGGACACAATATTTTTATTTTAACGTGGTGCTGAGGATTGAACCCAGTGCCTCACACATGCCAGGCAAGTGCTCTACCACTGAGCCACATGCACAGCCCAAGCCCTTTTTATTTTGAGAAAGGTTCTCACAGAGTTGTCCTGGCTGACCTTGAACCTTGTGATCCTCTTGCCTCAGCCCTCTGAGAAGCTGAAATCACAGGTGTGCACCACCATACTCAACAAGCTAGATACTTTTGACCCCCAAAATATGTATGCCAATAAATTCTACCCTCTTCATTTTAATTTATTAAGACAGTTTGAGTTGAGTTTGTCAGTTGTCACTGCAAGATTACCGACCAATGCAATGAACCAACTAGACCATAAACTTTCTGAGAGTATGGATTGCATTTCATAGACTTAAGATCCTAGAGGTCAGGGAGAATGCCTAATGGATTGCACCACCTGGCACCCGGATGATCACAGAATAGGTGATGGATAAACAAAGAAATATCTCTTTATWTTTTCCCAGGGGGTAAATGCTCTGCATTTAGAAGATTCTAAAACATGAAATAAGAGTTCACAGGAAGCTGGGCATGGGGTGCATGCCTATACTCCCAGCAATTCAGGAGGCTGAGGCAGGAGGCCAGCCTGTGCAACTTAACAAGAATGTGTCTCTAAATTAAAAAAATAAATAAATAAATAAATAAATAAAGTAAAAGGGCTGGAGATGTAGCTCAGCAGTAGAGCAACCCTGAGTTCAATCCCCAGTACTTGGGGGGGGGAGTTCACAGGAGCAAGAATCACATAACATATGACACAAAGAAAGCCCCTTGCTTCTCTGTAGTTCCTCTGGGGATAACAGATTTTTCACTTGCTTTTCTTTTCTTTTTAATTTTTTGTAGTTGTAGATGGACCGCATGTCTTTATTATGTGGTGCTAAGGATCGAACTCAGTGCCTCATATGTGCAAGACAAACACTGCCACTGAGCCACAACCCCAGCCCACATTCTGACTCTTCTATGACACAAACAAAGCCCCTTGCTTCTCTGCAGTTCCTCTGGGGATAACAGATCTTTCACTTTCTTACTTCAGCAGGATTTCTCCTGCTTAAGCAGGAGGATCTCAAGTTTGAGGCCAGGCTGAGCAACTTAAGACACTGTCTCAAAATTTTTTATAAAAGGGCTGGGGGTGTAGATCTAAATGGAACGATCTTGGTGAAAGATCTTGGTGAAAGGAGCTGAAAAAGATACTTTAAATCAACTAATCTAACTGCACCCACATCCCCCTTGTACAGATGAGAAAACTGAGATTTAAACCAAAAAGATCTAGCACTGGTGAGACACTGGCAGAGTCAGCCAAGAGCTCCATTCCCATGACTCGTAGCACAGTGCTCTGGCCTCTGCACTGGTGTCACTTGATTAAGCAAAGTGAATCAGTCACTTACCAAGGGAATTCAGAAGTTCTCTGAGCAAAATGGAATAAACCGTTCAACTCAGCTTCTCAACCCTCAGGAATGGGACAGTAACACAAGGGAAACAGTGAAGAACCCCAGGGCCTTACACCCCATTTACTCCTTTGCTGGCCTTGTAGACCCTCATTTCTCTATACTCAGCCTCCTCTCTCTCAAGCAGGGAGAGGAGAGTAGAGTATGAAAGAGATGATCGCTAAGATCCCTGAAATTCAATGATTATGTGGGGTTTGTTGGATAGTTCATCAAATCCCCAAGATTAAACCTACACAGATTACAGAGAATTTGAAGGCCAAACAGTCAGCAACCCATCTGCAGACTCCAAATTTAGGCTGATGAATGGGGGGGGGGGGGTGTCCAGCTGACTGTATACTCTTCCCAGCTTGCCTTTGGAAGAATTATAGAATGGAAACACAAAATATCATCTGTCTCTGGGTACCAGTGAGAAATTTGGAAAGATATTCCCCACATCCTACAATTCTCCTCTCTTCAAAGATTTGAAAAGAGCCAAGCACAGTGGTACACACCTGTAATTCCAACTACCTGAGAGGCTGAGGCAAGAGGATCACAAGTGCAAGGCCAGCCTGGCAATTTAGCAAGACCCTGCCTCAAAATAAAAAGTAAAAAAAATAAATAAATAAATAAGGGACTGGGGCTGTGACTCAATGATACAGTGACCCTGGGTCCAATCCCCAGTACCAGGAGGAGAATCCACATTGAAGTTGAGTGGGATGAGATGGATTTGAAGCAAGTCATTAGAATGTCCACATCTGGGCTGGGTGTGGTGGCCCATGCCCGTAATCCCAGTAACGCAGGAGGCTGAAGCATGAGGTGTGCAAGTTTGAGGCCAGCCTCAGCAACTTAGTGGGACTCTATCTCAAAATAAAATAAAAAGGACTAGAATGTCATTCAGTAGTAGAGTGCTTGCGTTGAATGAGAGAGACCCTCGTTCAATCCCCAGTACTAAAAAAAAAAAAAAAAAAAATCTACATCTGAGTATTCACTACTTTCTTCAAATCAGTCCTCTCAGGAGATTGTGCGGTTCTTCCAGTGGGTCAATAATTCCTCCCAACATTTGTTAAGTCCTCTTGAGTAAGGGAACCAGCCTCATGACCTTGTCCTCATATCTTGGCTTTCATCCCAAGTGACAATGCTTAGTTTGATCACCCATCATATTCCAAACACCTGACCCTGAGTGACTTCCAGCCATTTCCAAATATCACATTCCTCCTTTAAAAGATGGGGGTTCCCCCTCAATGGAGATKTTCAAGAGAATACACCCCGTGCTACACAGCCAGCTTCCTACAAATGCTTTGAACATCACCAGCAAGCAATCTCTTTTGCAGGGTTGAACACTTGTTGAATGTTTTGAGGTGTTATTGTAAAACTCTCTCTGATTCATGATTATCACATTTTCTCTTCTCTTTCTCATCCCTGGAGGGCTCCAACTTTATCCTAACCTCACCAGTCATCCTTCCCCATCTTGCCCTTCCTGGCCCCACTTTCCCCTGCCCAACTCTCTTCCCTATCTGCAATTAGGCAAATGTCCAAGTTGCTGAATCTTCAAAATCTGTTTTCAATCGAAAGGTGGGTGGGGACAGGGGACTCTAATGGATCCTGGAAAACTGTCTCAGCATTTCTCATTCCCAAAAGGCCTTTTGCTGATACTTGGGGCAGGATGACTATCTCAGCCAAACACATCAGAAGGTCACAGGGACTCATTTCCACCTGGAATGGCACCAGAACACTTCCTGCCAGGGGAGTGGGGGTTTTAAAGAATAGAACTGTCCCTCTGGAGATCCCTGTTGTTAGATGCTGTCAACTACCCACATCTCTAGGACTGGACAGAAACCACAGCCAGCCTCCCCCACCCCTTGTTACAGAACTTTTTTAAGTTTACCAGATACTCTGATTTGTCCTCTGGAATCCTCTCCACTGTTTACAGACAGATGAAGAAACCAAGCCTCAGAGAAGCAAAGTGAAACACCCAAGTTAATGTCAGCGGGTTAAAGGTCCAAGTTAGAGCTCTTGATTCTTTATGTCTCATGCTTTTTTCAACATAATGTAAATAGAATACATCTAGAGAAAGCCCTGATTCAGAAAATTATTTCCACAAAGTCGGCCAACAGAGACTCAGAGACGACAACATAATGCTAACCCATCAATAAATGCAATGTGCATATATATCCACGCATGAGGACCCAAATACCCAATTCTAACACTCTCCCCGCTGCCTTAAGGTGTCTCTCTCATTAAATCTCCTTCCCTAGAAGCTCCTGAGGGTGGGCCAAGGATGTATCTCAGCACAGAGGAACAGAATCTCTCTCTGACTCCTCCAGAAAGGAGACCCCAACCTTGGCGCCTGTTTTGGGGGTTCCGACCCCGCCCCCTCCCCTACCTGCCAAGAGTTGCATCCAGGCGCAGATCTTGTAGACCGTGGCGGTGTTGCAGAAGAAGAAAAGCGCAAAGCAGGTGATGCAGCCCAGGATCAGCACCATGGAGAGCAGCACGAAGAAGGCGGCCGCCTTGAAGGCGCCGGACGGGATGGTGCTGAAGTCGGTGAAGGAGCCCCGGCAGGTGAGCTCGCGGCCCGCCAGCCCGCTGCCCACGCAGTAGTGGAAGAGGCCGAAGTAGCCAGGCTTGGGGGTGCTCACGCTGTCGCCCACCCAGTAGGGCTGGATGAAGACCACCACGTTGATGATGGCGAAGCAGATGGTGAAGATGGCCCACAGCACGCCGATGGCCCGCGAGTTCCGCATGTAGTGCTCGTGGTAGAGCTTGGAGGCCTCCTGCGAGGGCAGCATGGTGCCCGGGGGCGGGGCCGGCGGCGGCGGCGGCAGGCGGGGGCCGCCGGCCCGGGACAGACCGCTGGGCTGCCGGCGGGAGCTGGGGACGCACGCGAGAAGCCGCCCTAAGTCAAGGAACTCGCGAGGGCGGGGCCTGGGGCGGAGCTGGGGGACACGGGGGCTGGTGTGGGGGAGCTAGGAGGGGGTCATGAGAGTGTTGGGGCGGCGTCTGGGGGGACTGGCAAGGATCTCCTATTCGGGGGCTTAGGAAGCGGTCATGTGAAAGTTGGGGGGGCTGGGACGAGAGTATGGGAGTTGGAAGACGGGGGAGGCCAGAAAGTGGTCATGGGAGAGTTGGGAGGGGGTTTGGGGACTGGCTTTGGGGGTAAGGAGAACCATGGGGACATGGAAAGGAAGCTGGAGACCAGAATTAGAGGATTAACGGCGGGGGTCGTATATAGAGAGCTCGGAGGGAATATGGGGGCTGCTATTAGAGGTAGGAGGTCGGTATTGGGTGCTGAAAAGGGGCTATGGAAGGACTAGGGGCTTTTTTTTGGGGGGGGGAGGATGTACGGGGCTATCAGAGGGCGATTAGGAAGCTGATACTGGTGCCGGGGCAGGAAATGGGGGCTGGTGAGAGGTCTAAGAGGGGGAGGTGGCCGAAGGTGGCATTAGGATGAGGCTAGAGTGGTGTCGGTGCTGAGACCGCAGGATCTGGGCACGGGGCNAGAGGTCTAAGAGGGGGAGGTGGCCGAAGGTGGCATTAGGATGAGGCTAGAGTGGTGTCGGTGCTGAGACCGCAGGATCTGGGCACGGGGCGGGGGGGGGGGGACGCTCCTCAGAAGCCAGGGCTGGATGTTGGCTGGGGGAGCCCAGGATTGGCGGGCCAGGACTGGAGAGAGGGGCTTTCCAGGCCACAGGGACCAGGGACCAGGGCCAGCAGGCTGCCTGGGGTGCTAAGGGCAGGTGGTAGGCAGGGACTGTCCCCAGGACGCTGGGGAGCAGCAGGGCCCGGGCAGGGCCGGCGGTGTGGGGGGGGTGGCTGCCCCGCGCCCAGGCCGGGCGCGCGCGGAGGCTGCGGCCGCAGGAAATGGATGCGGGGAGACCAACCTGGGCCCGGTCCGGGGTAGCAGGTCCGGGACTGGCACGGCCTAGGCACCGGGGCTCGGCACTCCAAGCAGCGGCTGCCTGGGCCCAGGCGGCGGCCTCTGCGCGGCCTCCATCTTGCTCGGGTTTTCCCCGGGGCGCGCTCCCGCGCCGAGGCGCGCGCTCTCGTGCTCCGGCTCAGCGCGGTGGATGCGCGCTCCCGCACGGGCGTGCGGAACCGAGCAGGGAGGAACGGGGGATGGGCCCTCTTGGTTCTGGCAGCCAGAGGGAGGCGCGGGCACGGTCCCTGAGGTCTCTCGGCCAAAGTAGCAAGCCCCCTCCGTAGTAGGGCTCCTGATTCCAGGGACTCTCTTCTTCCAGTCTCGAGTTGTAGGGCTGTGTGTCCCCACAAAGCCCAGGGCAGCGGGGGAGGGGTCGAACGAGATATTTTTTGATGGGGTTTAAACTGAATCTCTTGCTTYCAAATTACTTCCTCTACAACCTATTGCAGTGCCTGAAGTCACACCAGTATGTTCCAGTCCTTTGGGTCTTGGAGGCGTTGAAGGTACCCAGAGTCTCCTAGGAAACTGCCAACACCCCTGGGAGAGGGAACCCCCTAAACTGTTAACAACCCACGCCTGTGGTGGGGATTCCTTGCCCGCTAGAGCAAGGAGCTGGGCCTAGGGAAAGGGACCCAGGGCAAATACCAACAGATAGGAAAGAAAGGGACTGGAAAATTGTTGGTTACCCTCTCTTGCTGTCCCCAGCGCCTAGCCCAGTGCCAGGCAAGAAGTGGACACACCACAAAGATCTGTCAAAGAACAAAATATCAAGGCCTGAAAACTCCCCAGGAGCATTAGGAGGAGCCAGTTTGAAGCCCAAGCCCGTTTGAATCATTTCCTTTCCTGTTCCAACACAGCCTTTAGCTTAGGATCTGTCAAGATGACCTGGGTTCCAACCCAGACAACCCAGATCATAAGTAGCTAACACTTGTTATCTCTGAGACTTTGCACTTAAGGCTCTCTGAACTTCTGTTCCCCATGTGTAAAGTGAACAAATTAAACACCCTTTTCAAGGTAGGTGTGTGTGTGTGTGTGTGTGTGTGTGTGTGAATTAATTCATGTTAGTGAGTCCCAAACACTGGACTCCACACAGGGTAGTTCTGTCTGTTGAAATTTACATCCATCTTAAAAAAAAAATCATATTAAATGACCAAATGTTGTTTCTCCAAGTGGGAGGGGAACTCACTATGTACTTCTTTCTTAGTGTAAAAATTCATTTCTTTTAAGAAGAGATGGTGATAGCCAGACTTGTTGGCACTTGGGATCCCAGTGACTTGGGAGGCTGATGCAGGAGGATCACAAGTTCTAGGCCAGCCTTAGAAACTTAGCCAGACCCTGTCTCAAAATAAAAAATAAAAAGGACTGGGGATATAGCTAAAAGGTAGAGTGTCCCTGGATTCAATCCCCAGTAATAGAAAAGGATGAAAGGAAGGAAGGAAGGAAGGAGGAAAGGGAGGGAGGAAAAAATGAAAGAATGAGAGAAAAAAAATCAATGGTAGTGATAGTTAATGGGAGTTTGTTTTTCATTTAACATCCTTATTTGGCAAAATAAGAAATAAGCAGCTTTATTTCAATTCCAAGTTTCAAAAAAAATTATAAGTCCATGAAATCCCATAATTTGGGACCTCAGACTCATCTGAATCCATCTTACATAGGGCCTGAAAACAGGTCCTCAATAAATTTGGTTTCCCTTCTATTGGTTCTTTAGAGAGTGCAACCTTGCTGACTCCTGTGAGCTTTGCTATCTCAGAATCATAAGCAGGAAGAGTTAGGGAAAAAATCTTGTTCCAAACCTTCTGCTATCTTACTGGTGAGGAATTGAATAATCCAGAAAGAAGATCCAGCTTGTCAGACTGATCAACCTAATTCATTAATTTATTCATCCATCCAATAAATATGTGGGTTCCTTTTGATGTGCCAGACAGAAGCTCTATGCACTGGGAAGAAAGTAATGGGTAAAATAGATATGTGGAACTCACAGCTTCAAGCAGGAGATAGAAGGTGCTGGGAAGAGGGAGCAGGGAAGTGGTCATCCTCAAAGAGCATCTCCGAGCCTCCTACTATGTATGCTCCTGGTTTGCACACTGCTCTGAACATACCAAGTTACTCCTCACTTTTACTCCTTACTCTTGGGAGGCTGAGGCAGGAGGATCATGAGTTCAAAGCCAGCACCAGCAATTTAGCAAGGCTCAGTGAGACCCTGTCTATAAATAAAATACATAATAGTACTGGGGATGTGGCTCCGTGGTTGAGTGTCCTTGAATTCAATCCCTAATAACCCCCCCCCCAAAAAAAAAACACTTTTACTCCTTACTATGCCATGAATCATTGCTTTTTCCAGCCTATTAAGCCAAGGTAGGTAATCCTGGAAAAAAACACACAGGAAAATCTACTGCAAGTTCTTGCTGAGATGGGACCCTAATTTCTCTCTACAGATCAAAGGCCCTCTGTGAAGATCCATCCATAAAACTTCTGACAATAGTGCTGCCAGGCGCAGGGGCACATGCCTGTAATCCCAGTCACTTGGGAGGCTGAGGCAGGAGAATTTCAGGTTTGAGGTGAACCTCAGCAGTTTGGCAAGAACCTGTCTTAAAATTAAAAAAGAAAAAAAATGGAGGGGGTGTCTGGGATGAAGCTTAGTGGTGAAGTACCACTGGATTGAATCCTCAGTACTGAAAAATAAAAAAAATAAATAAATAATAAAAATAAAGGGGATGTAGCTCAGCCTTGCATTCCATTTCCAGCTGGGGGGAGGGGGAAGAGAAAGAGAGAAAAGAAAAAAGAATTTTCTTTCCTCTTCACTCAGTCTCTGGTTTTGATAGAATCTCACACACACACACACACACACACACACACACACACACCATATTTCTCTCCAGAAGGAGCCAATGGAGCCAATGATCAAGCCAGGACAATGAAAATACTAAATTATTCTGGATACAATGACTGGTTCTAGGTTTGGTCCTCAACTCAGGCCACAGAGTTGAGAGTTCTAGCCAAATTATTTGTTGAAGTTTATAGGAAAGAGGTGCTGTCCTTCTGTTGGGTTTGATGTGAGCCACAGCTATTGGTGGCCACCTTTGATAGGCTAAGCAGAGAGCTTGTCTAAGAATAAGGTCAATACAGAAAAAAGCTAAGAAGCTGAGTGGTGCTGCATACCTGTAATCCCAATGACTCAGGAGGCTGAAGGAGAGGACCACAAGTTTGAGGTCAGCCTGGACAACTTAGCCAGACCTTGTCTCATAATAGAAAATAAGAAGGATTAGGAATGTAGCTCAGTGTTAAATCACCCATGGGTTCTATTTCCAGTACCCCCCCCCCAAAAAAAAAGAAAAGAAAAGAAACAAAAGTAAGAAATAGAGTTTGAACACTCAGATCTGTCCAAACCTACTTCAGGATTGTTCTGTTGGGGTGAGCCAATAAACTCAGTTCTGTTTAAACTACTCCAAGTTAGATTTTTGTTTTGTTTTTCTGTACTGAGAATTGAACCCAGGGGTACTCTACCACTGAGCTATATCCCCAGCCCTTTCTTTTTTTTTTTTTTTTTTTTTTTTATTTTGAGACAGGATCTAGTTAAATTGCTCAGGCTAGCCCTGAATTTGCAATCCTTCTGTCTTAGTCTCCTGAATTGCTGGGATTATGGGTGCATGTCACCACACTTAGTATGAGTTAATATTTGTTGTTGTTCTAATCAAAATAGACCTAAATATACCTATATTCCTCCAAAAGTGAGAACAGGAGCTTACATAATGTATTATTTATATTATAGAAGTATGTCTGAATAAATGAGTTACTTCTCATGTATCAGAACCACAAGACCAGGAATGAAGGCCTGCCTCTGGCCTATGGCCCGAGACACTGCTACTACCC